ATTAAAATCATCATAAATTAACAAATATATCTTTTAAATAAAAAATTGTAATTAAAGTTTGATTAGTTAGTTGGTGGGAAAAAATAAAAACGGAAAAAGAAGAGTGCATGCTAGGCTGAAATTAAATTTAATGAAGGATGGTAAAAATTGTTAGGCTGAAATTAATTAATAAAGGGAGGAAAAAACTAAAGTAAAAATAGTAGATTTATCAAATAAGAAAAGTATTGATACATGACAACAAAAGAGTATTAAGAAAGATCCTGTAAAAATGATATATGACATTACTTATCTTGAATGGTTTCTGCTTTAATATATATATAGATAAGTTGGCTAACAGATGAAATGGAATTAGCTTATAACATGCATAAATGTTGAAAATGTTCAACACATAGTGAAATTTATGTATGAAGGCTTAATGGTAATGATATACTGTTAAGGAGCAGCATGCATGATGCAAAGGGGGCCACTGTTTTCTTGCTAGGTTAATTACTTATGCTGGTTTCTTGGTTTCTTGCTCTCATGGAGTTCTAATATGTTGTGATATGCAGTAGAAGACATTGAATTTCTCAAATGTTGTAGGAGGGATGTAGAGTGGCTTCAATCATTATAAACAGCATGGATGAATCTCAATTTGTTTTCTACTTCTTGATGGTGCTACCTATCTTTAGTTTTCTGTTTGTTCCATTAGTCTCTAAATTTATGTTTGGGTTATATCTTTGGTTTTAGGCAATGTTTTTAAACCTGAATCAGAGGTCATATCGTTTTGACCTTCGGTTCACGATTTGAACGGTTTAACCAATTTAATTGGTAAAACCACCGAGTTGATCAAACTATTATAAATATATTATTTTACAAAATATTTTGCAGGGTGTTGGTTGGGTGCAGTGGTAGGTGAGGTGATTTAATATTTGAAAGATCACAAGTTCGAGCCCTCATGAGAACAAACTTGAATATAATTGTGGTTTAAAAGACATAATAAATATATTATAAAGCAAAACATAGCAAATAGAAAGTTGTGTCTAAACTCTGAAGTGGTAGAGTCTTGGTTTCATATTATGGAGAATAAGTGTTCGAATCCCATGGCTATCATCATATTAGATAAATAAAATTCCTGTGTATAAATTGATTATGTGTCGTACTATTTTTGATAGTAGAGGGATGATAGATGGCATTAGCCCTAAGTTATTTAAGTTATTGTGTATGAATCGAGTATGTGTTGTGTCTCCTTGATTTAGTGGACCAATGCCCTCTAAGATTTGCTCGTTTAAATTGTTTGTATAAGAATTTATCCTAAGAACTTGGAGAACTCCTCTTTATATTCTAGTTTAATTGTGTTAATATGTACTTAGTCTACTTTAGAACTCTATAATGCTAAATATCTATCTTGTAATTAAATTAAAAAATATATGTTTAAAACACATATTAGACAAATATTTTGATTATTATTATTTTGGTTTAAAACATAACTATTGGAAAATTTTTGAACAGTATCGTCCAAGAGCCAACGATGAATTGTAAGAACGGCCAGGCGGCATTCAATCATATAGTGAACTGGAAATGTACGGACGGACTTATGACACATGAAAATGTAAATACTTTAGCCAAACTAGTGACCAATCAACTTCTTGCCATGTCTCATGTGCCCAAAGGGAGCTTATTACCCACTTAGGCTTGTAAGTGACCACATGCACCGAGTTATTGACGTGGATACCTTATAAAAGTATCTGCACTTAATAAAGAAAAAAAAAAAGCATTATGTGCGTCTTTTTATGAATACACAAAAAAATAGACTTCCACTCACCAACTACTTTCCATCTCAAGAATAAAAATCATTAATATGCCATATATATATATATATA